AATAGTACTGCCCCCGGGGAGGGGGGGGGCGAAAAAAAATTAATAAAGGCCCGCGGGAGGCGTCCCATTATTTGTTCGCGTGCTTCCTGCGGGCTTGGTTCGACAGGCGACACGGATGAGTTGTCGGCAACATGCCACTTTCAAACAAATTCTCAGAGCGTTGTGGACCATGCCCTGTGGCTTCTCATAACATCGATTTGGCTCGTCTTGTGTCCCCTTGGTGCAGATGCAGCCACTCTCGAGCGGGTGAATGCTCTCAACATCTCCGGGCTATGCCGTCACACTCAGACATACTAGCTGCGCAGCTTCACAGCAGACAGGATACCCAAGAAACCCACAGAAGCGCGGCCTCTGTAATGCGAACTTCTTCTGCAAACGTGCCCTGAGGCCGCTCGAAGCGGAATCCAAGCTTGCTACCATTCTCCTCTCGCGTACAGAGCACGCACGCACACGCACGCACGCACTCGGAGGCGGGGATGAGCCTTGCTCAGTCCGATGATGAATCGATCTGGAAACCTGCTCGAGAAAGGCGTCAAGCCCTCAGCATTGAAAGAAGTGGTCTGTCTCGGCATGAGAGCTACAGCAGTGAAGGACAGCTGCATGAAACTTCAACGATCTGAGCATGCCAACGAGAGGGGAGGACCCCGGGAGGACTCCACAAGGCAGGCTAGTATAGTACAGCATCCTTGCTAAAACACCTGCGTGTCTTGGGTACTATAACCGACGCGATGGCACCAAGTGGCCTTACATCATGATAATGTATAGCGCAATGCATGTCCAGCTTCGCTCGGCTTGGACCAGCAAAGTCTCGCTGAAGATCACCGATGCGGCAACCTACACCCGAGTCTGCCTCACCATTTGGAGGAAGATGCGCGGCGCGTGAATCTCCCTGGCCATGGCCTCCGCACTATCATGCCATGGCAGCCAATCGTCCGAATGTGTGTTCTTGCATACAGAAGCGGCAGTCATTCCGCGGCTCTGCGCTCGAAACCAGAAACGCGTTAGACCCATGTGAAGGCCGTGCCTGATAATGTAACGGTATTCCCGACCCTCGTTTTGGTGAAAATCCCAGCGGCTCAGCTCCTCCCGTCGTTCTACCACTTCACCCTGCTTGCACCCCACGAGCACGGTTAAGAACTACGTGCAACGACAAGTCGCATCTCATGCACGTGATGCCTGAATGGACAATGGAAGCTCCGTATCAACGCGTCAGAAATCAATGTTGGGAGAAGAAGTTTGAGGGCAGGACTATATGCTGCAAACGTTGCTTGGGGCATCTTGGGGCTCTCCAAGTATGACGACCTCGGCCTGTTTGGGAGCATGCCACTTCTTTTCATTCAGCAAGGCTCGAGCTGTTCGTGTGTTGCTTTTTTTGACCCAGCGTTTCACAAGAGTGATATCAGTGTAGAATATGGGCACAACGCACGGGAGCACGGTACAACAAGCACTTGCATGCTTGCTCCCTTCCTAAGGTCCTACTGTGCGCCTCGACGTCTGTCTGGTCATTGACTGCCAAGATTCTGTCCTCACAGTCCACCGGTACTTGATGTGGATTGTTTCATGAGGCTTGCACGTCCAGCCGGTGTCCTGCGTTCGCACCTCCAGCTGCGGAGCGCGTGCATTCCACTTCTGCAGCAGCCCATCAGGATAAATCCTTTCAGAAGGAAAACGAAGCAATAATCTGGAACCGTCGCTCATGTCCCGTCGCCTCTTCACAACCAACATGTCCGGTCCCGGCAAGCGCGAACGTTTCCCTGACCTGAGAGCATCTCAAAAGTTCTACTGACGTTTGAACCAAGTGAGCTCACCGTTTCACTGCTACTGTGGCAGGTCAGCCCAAGTGTCCGGCTCAAATGATTTGCCTTCCAAGCGAATTTCGAACTCCATCTTGCCATTAGCCTCTGGAATAGCTGGATCTAGATTTTACTTTTCTTGCAATCATGAGCAGCCTGAGCAAACCCAAACTTGTCCTGCTCGCCTTCCTGATAATAATTGCCAGTGGACCACTTCTTAAACCGGAAAGACAGCAACACTTTCACAATGGCAACTGGTCCTTTTTGAGCAGGACTTGCCAGAACAAGCAACCATCCTCTTCTTCAATTCCAGCCTGGAGGGGAAGAAGAAATAAACGGTGGCTAAACAGCAACACAGCGCGCTCCAAATGCTGTAGTGGCAATAAGAGCGGCCAGCTGCATGTTCAAGAAATAGCAGAAGATCCAACATGGAATGTCCTGCGCTTCCTCTGCAAAGACTTGTTGCGAGGCGAACGAATCTGTCTCCGAAGTCCGCTCGGAGACATCTGCCTGCCGTGTACAGTGTGGGTAGCGTCCCGGCCTGCTGTTGGCCATCCCCGGTTGCGCCTCTCCTGCTAGAACAGATTCGCCTGATCTGGCCGTCTCCCGGAAGCCCTCTTCAACACGATGCTCTGCGACAGGTGACTTCACAAAATCATTGCATTTTCCACCTGGAGCTCGGGAAACATTGCCACAAACTCCTGGCGACGCGGCAGATCTCGAGTGCCCTGACTCAATCACCTGCTGGAATCGAGGAGGGCTGCAAACCACATGCTTCGGGTCCTTGTAACCGGTGGCATGCACCGCAACGCTGGTTAGACAGTCGCGACAAAGATCATAATCGCATGGGCGGCAACCGTACAAGGTCGTGTTGCTTGGAAACTCGCCTCAGCAGATGCAAGTAGCAGGATTTCGTTACACTTGCGCGAAGCTTATCATCCGGGGGCAGCTTCATGGTAAACGGGCAGAAATAATTCCAGCTTTGCACCACCCTGTAGCACAAAGACCGAACTTCATCCCGCTTGGTATGTCCGTTCATCACTTGTGAGTTCTTGTGACTTCGTGGGGGCTGCTGCGAAGCAGCCTACGGGGTGATTCATGATGTGAGATGCTCGCTGGGTGAAGCCAGATGAACCTGGTTTTGAAAAAGACGGAACGGTTTCGGCTTACCACCTGCAGACATTGAGCCGGAGGAACAGTCGACGCATCAGAAGACGTAAGTCCCACAATGGAGGTCCTCCATAGCCCTGTTGCCTCTTGCTTGGGTGCTGCGGCCGCCCGAGGGCAAAGCCGCTGGAGGCCCGTTTCGTTGAATGGCATTATCTGCATCTGCGTGGTACTGACCCTCCTGCTGTCGCTGCTGTGCATTTTGCCAAGATGCTGGCACAAAGCCGTTCCCAAGTTTCGCTGCTTTGTTTCTCCCGACTCACCGGCACAATGGTCGGACAGAGAGGTTCGCCCACCTGGTCGAATATATTGCTGACGCTGGAGCCACCAGCAAACCAGCAGACATCTGAGGACACCCTAACGACCAACACCACAACGACGTAGTCAAGGTGGCTGCCGGGGATCTGGTGGCCGGGTTCCGTGTCGCTTCCAACCCAGGCAGCTGGGGCTCTCACAAAAGGGTTCAGGGCAAGCCTTGTGCTTTCCAAGGCCCGGGCAGTCACACAAGGAACACAGAAATCCATCTTCGGGAGTTTCGAACGCCGCCAGCTCGTGCCCTGTTGGGCATTTCGAGCGAGGTGTCGGAGTTGGGGGTTCCTGCACTGTACAAAACTGAAAGCCGGACTGCTCTTACGTATAACTGAGAAGTCTTTGGGTGATCCTCCTCCTGCTCCTCCTTCTCTGCATCAAATTCGATCTGTTCGGCCTGCCCCGGCACCGATGCACGAGCATATGCGCAGCATCAGCAGGACTGCAGCCCAGCCTTCGGCGCAACGGGCTGAACTTGCCGGAACCTCATTTTTGAGCTCATCGAGTTGACGCTTCCATGCCTTGCTCAGTGTGCATATGACTGTAAGTGCCACGCGACGTATCCAGCTTCTGCTCCTTTTTCGCACGCAGCATGCGTGCGATTGACCTCGGTGCGTGTGGCATGCAATGTGCGCTGGCACATTACCGCTTGACGGCACGGTTTCGCTCGTGTCAGATTCAAAGTCAGCGATTGTACTTTGCATTTTCTAGGACGCTTGAGCGTTTTCTAAACGGATAGAGTCGGATAGAGGTTGCGGTGTGCTCGAGTCCTTCACTGCTCGTCGATCCTCCGGAACCCCAAGCCACATTCGTACTGAGGGTCCTTGGCCCGGATGCTGACTCGGAAGCCGAGCCCACCTCTGACCTTTGTGAGGCCGTTCTGGTGGGTTTTGCGCTCCAAGAAGCCTAGAGCCCTGGTGCCGGAGGGTTGCGAAGGCGAAGACCGGGCGGCAAACCATGTGAACCCTCTGAGGATCTTCAGCTTTCTGATCTTGGGGCAGGGTGTGCGCCCGGCTTTGCAACCATCATAGCCAGGTTTACATGCTCTCGTGCCACGGGAGGAAATGCTGTGGGTACGAAATGTGACTTAGGTTGTTTTTTTGTTTTTCGTTTGAATTTTTTCTGTCTCATCCGCTGCAATATGGTGCAAGTCTGGTCCATGCGTCCTATATTTACTTACACGGGATGCTGGCTGCGCGTGTCTCCCGCCCCGGTGCGGTGCATACTTTTCGTCATGTACAGAGGGTTCTCCGAGTTCTATGTGCTGGAGGCGTGACTAATTGCAAATAAAAACATATGGACCACCCTTGCTTGTGGAAAACCTTGAAACACGGCAGCACGTGGAGGAAACGATTTAATGTCTTCCTTTAGATGTAGGCCAGTGGGTTTGGGCAAAACGTCTAAGGCGCAGTTGGCAAAACGCCCCTCTAAGGTGCACACGGGAACTTGTTTGGTATGCCCAAACCAACGTATCCACACTTCATACCACCAAACCGGAGGGTCGAGGCCACGGCACGAAACCGGAGGGTCTAGGGTAGGATTCATTAAGCGCTCTGATATCTTAAATTGGCCCCTCCTTTGGCGATCTCGAGCCCGAGTCATGACATATCCTCAACACATCTTCAACACGCACCCTCATGTGGCGATCCAGGTTGATCACACATCCCTTCCTTTAGCGATCCGGATTCATCACATACCTTAAAACAACCGCACCCTCGTTTTTCATCACTTATCTCAAACACGCCCCCCTCATTAAATAGGCGACCGGTCTGGGCGATCTCCAACGCTCGGAACTCGCTGAACAGCCGAGGTCACACTCTCACTTTTCCGTGCGACCACAACGTAGGAGTCGATCGCAGGTCTGATCAAGAACATCTCAAGATCTTCACACATCTTATTGGCGCATGTGATCCTGACTAATTGCTCCTGGCATGATCGCTCGCCACCATCTACGGAAGGCCTGAACCGGCCATCGTTCGCAGACCTGATCAGGACCTCATCGCCGTAGTGCTGCTGGACTCAAAGCTCCGAGTCCGAACGGTATCTACGGAAGACCAGCTGCGGGGAACGACATGGCAGCAGTCGAATGATCTAACTCCCACGATGGAAAACCTGGGCCTTTCATTAGGAGACCCCGATTCATCACACGCCTTACACGTGGAACTCATCAACACGGCGGAAGTCATGAGAAAATTGTGATTGCAATCGCGAGGTTTCGAGAAGCATTCGCAAGCAAGCACCGAGGTCACCACCGAACTTTGGAATGTGCTGCATGTAGCAGCGGCGTGGCTCCACTGAAGTCCTCCCCAGAATGAGGCATGTGGCATCGCTGCCCTCGCTGGAAGGAGCTCCTCCAGCTCCAGGACCGGTGCTTGCAGGACTTCCAAGACGCAAGCCGCCGCATCATGGAGTCCTGGAGCTGGAGCTCGCAGCGGAATGCCCGAGTTACTGTGCTTTCGCAGGTTGGGTTCGCTAATGCACTTCTTACAAGCGGTGCTTCTTCAATGCTCTTCCCTGCCCATGTAGTGGTTTCAAGGCAACCTCACTAGAACCCTTTATCGCATCATGTGCACCGGATAGACCCAACTGCTGAAGCCCGGAATTCTGGACCAGAGCAATCCCGTTTGCCTCATGATTTAAATCCAAATACTTGAATACTATTCGGTTTCAATACTCGGCTTCTTGCCTGCGCCATGCAGAAGCACGGCTTTGTGACTGGAGAGCGCTGGAGACATCTGGAGAGCTTACGAAGAAAAAAAATCAGTGGAGCACACAATTTCTTCCACTGCGATGTCAACAATGAAGACACGGAATCAAACCCTTCAGCTGTCATACAGGACAAATTCCAGAGCTTGACGCGCATAATGCTTTGACACTGTGGAGACAGCTGGGACTGTCTGGGACCAGCAAGTGCTCGTTGAGGGCTTCATCTCCCAGGCCGAAATGATAGCCTTTTCGATTGGGTCACCTTGCACCGCCGTGGGCAACCCTTTCCTTAGCCGGATTTCGGGAGGAATCTATACAAAGGGCCAATTGCTGCCGTTTCCACATCTGACTTCTGTCCTGCTCGGGCAAGCAAGTGAAGCGGGGTCTGGTTCCGGATGTTCACAAGGCTCAAATCTGCACTCCTGCATGGCATGCATTCCGTGACGCTGATCCCTCACGCCACGGCTGCCACGTGCAGGCAACGGCCTTGCCATGAGCGTCTCGCAGATTTGCCGCGAAGGGGCAAAAAATATCTGCGAACGGAGCTGTGCACCCAATTGCGACTGCAATCCACTAGCCGCTAGCCACCGGACGGTACGCTGCGACTACCCTGCAGGGCTTGGGCCCCAGCTGGAGATTGGCCATGACAGTCTCGCGCATTCGCATCAGCCGCAGCACTCAACTTAGGCAAACCGTTGCTCATGTAAGGTAGGTCATCAGGTGTGGTATGGTTTGCACAAACAAGCGCAGGTGTACGAACACGCACGCACGCGCACACGCACACAGGCGCCCACGCCCGCGCCCCTGCACCGACACCCACCAGCACATACACACACACACAGACAAGCAAACAAACAAACAATGAAACCAGAAAATAAACAAACAAACACACTCACACACAACGCGAAAAAACAGAGCAATCAAACTGTTCTGGAAAACGACCTCGACCGACGAAGTCGACCGGCGTCGTTCCAAGTGAAACCGGTCAGTACAAACCCTCCCACGTATTTCTCGAGAAAGACCAAACCCAGCAGCCTTCCCCCCTTCGCTGATCAGCTGCTAGTCAAGGCGGATTGGATGGGACCGAGGTGATTGCCTCCAAAATGGCCACAGGCCATTGAAAAATCAGCGACCAAAGACGATGCATGCATGCATGCATGAGGATCTACTGTATGCAGGAGTATGACCCTCATATCCCAGACCCACCTCAGCGCTGATATGAGAACTACCCCCCGCGCACGAACGTTCGTAAAAAACGCATTGATGAGCAGCCACAGATCGGGCCCGAACAGAGACAGGAGTCGCCTGCGATCGAAGATGACCACGCCCATTTGTGCGCTGGCACTTCTCAGGGGGGCTCAGGACCATCTTGCGCTGCTCTACACTCGGGGTCAAGCTTAGGGGCCCTCCGACTGCCGGCTCCTTTCGCTGCATGGAGCTTCCCGCACGACCAGGATCGAGCATGCCAAAGCCCAGAATCGAATCGATCGTGTTCAGAATGAACGAGCTCCTCAACACAATGTCCATAAATGGCCTGCCTGTGTTCTCACGTGCTTCATGGTGGTTCTGTGACTTTCACTAGCCCAGAGTGGCCGTAGTGTTAAGAAGAGTAGATGCTCCTATGCCTTACACTTGGGCCTATCGCGGTCACTGCTCGCGAGGTATTGGGGTCACACCCAGCGGAACTGCCCACTGAGAACTGCATCCCCTCAAACGCCTCAAACCTCTGCATGCAGTCACAGATGGCACCGAAAGCAAATACTTTGCATCCAAAAATCAGAGAAGCTTTGGAATCAGCAGCCGCGCGACTTAGCTACTTGCACTCAATTGATGCTCGAACCTTGCGTTTTTCACCTCCACAAAACCCACAACGCTAACATCAGAAAAACCTACTTCTTCATTGGTAGGTTTAACACGGGCAACCCGTGGATGGGGCAAGTCACCATCAGAACTGAAATAGACTGTGCTCATGCACTGAACCCCGGCAAACGTAGGGGAAACCTCAGTGCCGATCCTAGCACAACATGAGAGTCAGGCGCCGAGCCTTGCCCTTCCTCCGGTCTCTCTGAGCTCACCACCAACATGTTCACGATGTGCTGTCGCCCCTTGAAGACGGCTAGATGAAGCGGAGTGACACCTCGAGTGTCCTGACATTCTGTTTGGCAGCACAGTCTGTGGTTTGCCGGTGATGGACTGACAAGGGCAAGGCGCAAGGATTATGAATCACGTGCTGGTGATTATTTCTCACTTCGTCCAGTGAGTCTGGTTTGAAATTGCACCAGCTGCCTCTACCACTCGCCACTTAACCTCGCGATGCTTTTGGTATAGACCTCCCGACATTTTGGAAACCTCCAAGCCTCTGCCACTGGGCGCCCGCTAGTCAACCCCACGCCGGAAGTCGACCCAGGAAGTTGGAAAACCTAGGATTCCCTAAGGGCACACCGCACGCCGTAGCCGACTTTCTATTCCGAAACTGTGAATCCCTAATCACTGTGCTGTGAAAAGCATTGGTTTGATTCTGGAGGACAAGCAGTTTCGTGTGGCGCACATGGTTAATACGTTGCCCCAGTAGAGGAAGTTTGTCAAGGAACACCGGGGCTGCGAAAGGTTAAGATCACACGGAGCACGGACAAGCACCATCCATCTACTGACTTGTCACGCTATGTTTTCCCACATTGCCGTCTTCTTCTTCCTGGGCAAGTATTCCTCAGCCCTCTGAGTCTGCCAAGCCTTCAGAAACATGCGCGACGTTGCGCGAGGACAACGCGAGGGTCCAGCAGCGAGCGGCACACCGGCAACCCCGCCCTACGCCCCGAAGAATCCTTCGCGTCCTCGATAAATCCGTAGTGCTGTGATGACGGCATCACTTGTCCCACAAGCACTGCTGAGCACAAACCCTTTGGCGGACAACCAACTCAGGCCGGAAAGCCTGCGCAGACCGCAACAAACAACGAACAACAACAAAAGCAACACACCCAGACAATGTGTGGATGATACGAAAAACGTTGCTAGTTAGCGGAGTCCAGTTAGGTCAACCACCCAGTAGCATCCATTCCGACCTGTCTTGGTCCCGGAAATAGAGGCTAAGGGGCTGTTGTTGCAAAGTGATTTGGCTGTTTTGGCTTGGATGGGAGGGTGAAGCTTTCAACATCTTCGATGCCATCCCTCGTTTCGGTTGGTTCGCTGATGCTGTGACTGTGACTGTGCATGCGGGCCTCAAGAATACGGGATGCTATTTTGTGCTCGAACTATCTGCGCCGAGCATACGTAGTCAATATCAGGAACTGGAAATCACAAATCAATGGACATGCGACAAAGGAGGATAACACTGCTCACACTGCATGCATATGATAATGCAAAAACCCAACACCCAGCAGCCAACACCACAAGTAATTATCGCGAAGTGTGTGAATGGACGAAACTCTGTCCGTCTGTGTTTATGTGTGTGTGTGCTCCGCGTCTGCATGTCACTGTCACTGTCTGTATTCGTGAGAACATACGAGCTTGCATGTGGGTGAAAACGCAGTCTTGCGCACACGCGAACATGTGTACAATCACGGAATCGCGTGAAGGTAGTAAACCGGAGCAGGAGGTCTCTTTGCCAAAAGCAGAGAAGGGTCAGCAGGTCAGCAGGAAAGGTACAGATGCTCAGCAATAAGACCGAGCTCGTGCAAGTGCCCTGTGCTACTTTGATTGGGGTTGGTTTTAAGCCATCTAGGCCCAGGCACATGTACATACAAACATCATCCTAGACAAATCCGTCACGTCGCATGCTCTGTGGCTGCTGGGGTGCGTGGACCGTGGGACCGAAAGAAGCGAGTCCGGGTCCTTTCCGTTCACATCTGCTCGGCCACGAAGCAAGCGCTGCACCAGTTCGGGATGCGATGCCTCACAGAAGTCTTAAGTGTTGAAACGATGAACACCTCAACACTCTTCAACATTCCATGGCTGAGGATCTGCATTGCAGGTCGAGAGAAGCTCAAGCCATGAAGAACCCATGCAAGAGCAAATGAGCACCAGCCAAGGTCAGTAGACCGGCTTCAATACCGAAATACTGCTGCCACATGGACAGGATATTGGAGGGATAGACAACGTATGACAACGCCAAATGTGCGCATTTCATGTTGATTCGTTGAGGCGTTGCCGCTCCGTGGCGCTATTTTGTCGAACGAAACACTGCGTCCCAAGCTGCAGTTACAGCCGAACGCAATGGAGAGTCCAGTTCCTGCTGCAGCCATAAGAATCAATTGCCAACTGATGTCTTCTCGCAGGCTGTTTAATCTCAAAAGCACGATGGCCCCTGAGACGTTCTTTGCCTTGGGCTGGACATTTTGTTGACCGGCAAGAGCTTCTTCCTCCAGAACAAGTGGGGTCAGCTGTCTCGGGTGCAACCCTGCATGCTGCCTCGATCGAGGCTCCGCTCTCGTGACACGTAGCCGGTGTGGCACTTGAGGACAGCATATGCCTCCAATGACAGAGCGCATGTCAAGCTTGGACTGTCGTGTAGCAGAGCGCCCGGCTACATCGCATGGCGTCGCATCCCCCCCGTCATGTCTGCTTACGGCTGCAGTCGCGTCACCAAGTGTCATGCCCCTCCACTCAGTCACTCTAGCGACTCACGATCGAGCTGATGTCGCACCGTTTCACTTTAAGCAGCACAAAATAAGTAAACAAAATAAACATGACATCGAGACACTCTTGATGCCGGCAGCCTGTGGTCATTCTGGCATCCTACTTCGCTGTGGCCGTATCAGCTCCTGACATGAGAGGCCTGCGAGCAATTTTACCGTCAGCATGATAGCTACAGCTGTGAAGGCAGAAGGAATCAGTACGTGCGCGGCTGTCGGTGCATTGTGCACTGCAAGCTGCATAACAAATGAAACTTACTCATCTCAACCCGTCTCGCACGTCTCCCATCCCGAGCATGGCTTCACCACCTGGAGCGTAGCGTGACTGGCACGTTCTGTCGCCATCGTGAGGAGAATGTATGGGACGGCACAGTATGATAGGGAAACCTTAGCAATACCTCGGTTACCGCGCCCTCGTCTGATTAGGGGTCGTTCCGGGTGTGAAACGCCAGGGCGATAATTATTTCCTACTTGGACTCCGAGGCGAAGGCGGCGAGATTGGTGGCAGCGAAGCCAGAATGCGCTTGGCATGAGTCTCGCCAAAGGTCTGACGAAGCAAAAGATAAATCTGTTACAGAGTTTGGTGAACTTTACAGTGCCTGATTTGGCCGATACCCAAGCTTGGCAGATTGATGCAGACCTCAACTCATGCCATTGACAGCAATTTCCTGATGACCTGTCAGCCCACCTCCAGCATGGAAGCACGTTTATCGGGCTGCTGGCAAGTGTGTGGCTTTTGCTTCAGCTTCAGAAACGTTGTCCCCTTCTAGCAGCTGCACCAACCACTGTCAGTTTCTGAGAGGTAAACACCACTTCTGAGGCCACCGGCATGGCAAGCTTGTGGTGCGCGAAGCACCTTCGGAACGGCGACTCAGTTGAGACAATACCAGGAGAACGTCGCACAAACGCCACAGCTTCCTGCAAGATTTGTCATGCCTTGAGCATCGCAAAAGGCTTGGTGTTCATATTGTGTCCTGCTTGTCCTGCTGGCATCATCTTCCGGAGTCAAGGTTCGACATGCCTAGCGGCCTAGCCCAGAGCAAGCACTAAGTACGCAGAGAACGAAACTGAACCAGATCGACATGTGACTTAGTCAGGTGCCCAACATAGCCAAACAGTGTTCCTGCCATGTGTTGTGCATTGGTACACTGTGTACACGATGGACGTAGTTGCAAGTTGCTCTGCTGTTTCCTGCTTACACGTCGGGCATCTGCCGTGAAAGCCAAGCATGCTTCAATCGCTGAGCCTTCACAGCAGAGCTAGTCCTGTACTGCGTAGCTCTCATTGCCGCGAAGTCATGACCAATTTGACGACACATCTGGTACCTTCGACATGGTGTTAGCAACGCGCAACTAGCTCCGCTTATGACCCGCCAAAACATCGATGGGCACGTTGGCGGGTTGCTCATGCCCTCTCCAGGATGCCCGCGAACGTAGCCATGTGCAGGATACTTGGAATACCTATCATTTCAACGCCGTGCAACTGGGAAATCTCGATACTTGCAACTGCATGATCCATGGAGAATTCGTCCGGGAAAGCCTGTTGCCATATGTGAAACTGGAGAGAGGCCTGCAGATTTTGTTCGGATGAGCACTCGCACACTGCGGTTTCTGAAAAATCTGTCAGCCGCGCCTGTGATTCTGACCTTCTCCTCCAACGAGACCGCCGAAGCCACCAGCCATGCTTCGTTTTGATGGCGAGCGTCGTTACATGGACATATGATGCATACGATCTGAATTTTCGGCTAGGTTGCAGGTGGCTTCTCTAGCTGCATTTCAAGCATCTTTGAACCCAATCAACGCTGGCAAACACAAGCCACATGGTCTGCTTAAAGTGCCCTCACCTACCCGACGAAACAATGCCCAACGCATGAACACGGCCCGGCACTTTTCCTCGCGGGAACTATGCTTGGCGTTTGCCTTCAAAGCTGTGCCTTGGGAAATGAGAGCCGCGCCGAGCCAAACACTATTTCCGGCGCAATGCGTAAAAAAAAACTGCTCAGCTTGCATGGCTCCGGATTTTGGAGAAAAAAGGCAGCACCGGGAACAGAATTCTTTTTTTGTTTTTTGGCGCGCCCTTCTTGCGACACGTCCTTGCGCGGCTCCAGTGCACCTTCGGGCTACGTCGCGCATGCGACCTACGTCCTCGCCGGGAGTCGGCTCGGAGCTGGGGCATCGAGCCATCGCTCGTCCTGCAGGACCTCATGCACAGCCGGCTCGCCGACAGCAAAGGGTGTCGAGAGGGAACTCGAGCAGCGAGCTGGCGAGGGCCTTCTGTGCCGCGACGGCGATGATGACACGAAGGCGGCACGCAAAGCCGAGCCAACAGCAGCGTGCGCACTCGCGGCCCGCGCGCGTGCAAGAAGGAGGCGCAAGAAGGTTGTGGGTTCGGGGCCCCAGCGGCCGCCAGTCTTTGGGTAGGTGTCACGACGCTTGCGGCCCCGTGCCAGAGTGGCAGGCCATTGCAAACGATCTCGATCTGCCGCGCATCGGCTACGGGGACTGGGAGATCCGCGGGACGCCAAGGCGCCGGGCACATGCCGTGCGAGGGTCACCAAGCGGGTCAAGCAGCCCCCGGCATGCACGGGCCCGCGGGGCAAGCGGCAGCGGCAAGCGCAGGCGGCGGAGGAGGAGCACCCGGAACTCTGGGAGGGGATGGTGACTGCTGCGTTTGTGTGGTGGACCTTGAAGCAGCAGGCGGCATGCGGCCCAGCCGTGTTCTAGCAGCAACGCTCGTGACGCAGGGGGCAAGGTGGCGAAACGCGTCTCGAACGCGCGCTGGTCACAGGCGCGGGCGGCTCACCAGAACATTTTGCACGAATCTGTGAGGTTGACGGGGTCACCTTCGTGTCTATGGCGGCGATGCTGGTGTTGTCATCGTTATCAAAATAATGTCGCTGGTGCAATGGCGGCCCGCGCTGGGGAGGCACCAAGCCTGCTACATTCCCTCTTATTGCAAGAGTTGTGTGGTGGCGCGGTCCCACCGGGCCAAAGCCGCTCTGAGGCGGCGGTTCCCTGCGATTGCAGTCATGGACACCTAGAGGGGGGTTTCATATTGGCCTGGGGCGGTCCTATGGGGCAACTGCGGTCGGAGACGGGGCGGTGGACGCCAACGGCTGCTCGAAAGTCGGCGTGGAAAATCCAGATTCTGCGACCAAGTTGTATCGGTGGAGCCTGGGGACCCTGTGGCAGAGGTCCGGGAAGGTACATGCAACGTCGATCCTCTCGTGCTCCTCCTGCAGGCGCAGCGGAGAAAAGGTCCCACAACCGGCCTCGAACGCGGTCTGCAGAGGTGCGGCAGGACAGCGAACCGTCGGGGGCCTGCAGCGCCTTTGCCGCCCTGTTTCGCATGCTTGCCTGCGCACCCTTGGGTCGCGGTGCATAGGATGGGCACCAAGCATGACTCATTTCAAGCGCAAGTGAACCACTGCTTCGCGATTCGGGGCCCATGGGCTGGCATGGGTCACTATCTCGTTTTCGTGCTAGAGGGACAAGCATGATACATTTCAACCCCTGAAATGTGTCATGGCTTTACACATGCTTGTTTTGATCATCGGCGCGTCTTCATTTAATGTCTTGTTGTATCGCATATTCGCGCGTCAGGGCTCACTTTCCGGTCGTGTTGCCTCTGGGTGCGTGTGGTTGCTTTGTTGATTCGCGAGTCTTGGCTTCTTCTGTGTTTGGTTATGGTTTCTACTTCTGAGGGCGGCGCAAAACCTCAACAACCCTACTGCTTGTGAGAGAGTACAAGGCCGAACCAGAAAGCAAGTGGGAGCTGTACAAAGGCAACGGCCGGGGTCCGGGGTGCACGGTGGAAGCTGCTGTGGCTTGACTGACTGACCCAAGCGGAGGCCGAAATGGCTATGGCTTTGCTCATTGGTCCGACTGAGCCACGTTGTGGCCGCTTGAGTGCATGAGGGACTCGTCTGATGTGATGACGGACTCATCAAAGTTGCCATGCATGCAGAATATGTATGTGTGTGTGTGTGTGCGCGCGGGTGGGTGTGNNGTGTGTGGGGGGGGGGGTCGTGTGTGGGGGATCTTGTGTGGGGGATCGTGTGTTTGGGATCGTGTGTGTGGGATCGTCTGGGATCGTGTGTGAGGGATCTCGTGTGTATTAAGCGAGGACGCGTGCTTAGGCTACATGATAAGCGGCATCATGACTTATTTCCCCAAGAGCGTCAGCCCCTCGGCACGTAATCACATTAGCAATATAATTTACAGACCGGCAGGATTCTGGGAGCCGTCTGCTTTGCAGAACTGCAGCGGATGAGGGCAGCGTTGCCGCAACATTGACACCTGTGGTCAGAAACCTGTGCAGACAGGAGGACTGGCAAAAGGCTTCTCTCATGCGGCCTCCAGGCACGGATTGCAGAAGACATCTTGCTTCTACCCATACAAGTGCCAACAGAGTTGTGGGCGCGCTTCTCTTGCCAAAACGTGTCTGATCGTGTAAATACTAGATGGTTGAAACACACGTTAGTCGTGCCAAACGAGGCTTGATCTAGGCTTCGAAAGTCAATGGACACCAAAAGAGGCCACAACCGACCATTACTACGTCATGCGAGTGAACATTATCAGGCCTAATCTATATAAGACTATTGGCTCCTGTGTCGTGTTTGGGCAAGAAGGGCAGAAGAACATTGACAACACAGCAGATGCTACTCTGGCAGCTGCGACCATCCGGTCTTCTGAAAATGCTGGCGGTCAGCCTTCGTTAGGCCAAGGTTTTCGCCAAGAATATCGACAGTTTCATCCATGTAGGCATCCACGCCTTCCCTATCACAAACGCGGTGCTGGTAACAATGTACAAACATTTTTTGGAGGCCCTCCCGAGTCCCACCGAACCCATGCAGTGGCAAGACTTGCTTGTATATCCCTTGAGCCAATTGCTCCCGGCCCTTCAAGGCAAGAAAGCTCGTGGCATGTGGGGACAGAGACTTCAAGTGCTCGATCTTCCGGCGGAAATCGCGATCGGCCAGGGCTGTGGCAAGCGCACGAAGGGCAGTACATGCGCCTAACCTGTCGGTGGGAACGCCGGCAGGATACCTCTTAGCGCGCAAGCACATCCCGTCGTTAATCAAGGATCGATTGGCCAAGAAGTCCGTATCATTGCGCAGGTGCTTGCAAGAAACCCAAAGCAGTTCAAGGCCATCTTCCGAGGCTGGAAGGCCGTACTGAGGTATTACCTTCATCTGCCGCGCACGTACCAATGCCTTGAGTGCGGCTTGGCACTCGGATTCCGTCTCTCGCCCGGTGTATTTTCCGGATAAGCTGTTCAGCGACATGACGAACTCAGGCTGCAAAAACTCTTGGAGGAGTTGGTTTTGAATGCTCAGTACCACATCTTTTGTCATGTCAGCCAGTACATGGTGGTGTGGGAAAGGGCTCTGCATTTGCTGGATGATGCCTTTTGCTGCGACCATCAGCCAAGGGCCTCAGGGATGTAGATCCAGCATGTGTCGCACAGCTTGAACAGCCTTTGCCTTGCTTCGAGTTTGATTCGGGCTTGAGAGCCTGATTACATTCCAGAAGCTCCAAAACTCCGGGATAGTGGGGAAGCCCACTACTGCAGGAAGCTTCTCGCTCATGTTGGAAACAATCGCAGAGAACTTTGTGAGCAGTCCCTCTTCTGCAACAAGGGAGAGAATGCCATCAACTTCTACGGAGCCATTGATGACAAGCGTTGGACAACTGGTTGCCTGAACGAAGGCCAGCTTCACCGCATCTTCTAAGCAGCGATTCCAGTGGTTGACGTTACACAGCTTGTGCTCGGTGAATAACAGGTCTCGCAACTGGGCAAGGACCCAAACACCCAACGAACACTTTGGCAATGGTAAGGCGTCCAAGAGCTTAGACACATCCGCCAAGTCACCAGCAAGCTGCGACACCTCTTGGACCAGCTCGCTATCATGCTTTTGCAAGAGCCCTAGCAGTGCTACCACAAGCAAATCACGACGAGGAATATCTTCAGCGCGGCCCCAACTTTCAACATGTGCATCCAAAAACGACAGAAGACCCCCAGGAATCCGATCAGAAAGTGAATCTGCCAGACCGGCTTGCGTGAGAGTGGCAGTTGGAAGGATCTCAGGATCGCTGCCTGAAAGTGACCTGCTGCAACGCCATGCGCAGCGGGCTATTTCCGAGCAAAGCGACCTGCGATCGGAAGATGAATTTCCTCCCATTCCTGCGACTTGTCGGCAAACGCCTCTGATGTTTTCTTGCACTGCACCATCTCCTGCTGCGAAGATGAGAGGTGCAGCTGGCTTCACATTCTCTGGGCAGAAGGATGCCCAGTTTGGCAGCCAAGATGCCTTGCAACACTCTGGCATGTATCGGAATATCGTAACTCCCAATGCAGCCCAGTCAAAGCTAGCGGACACCTTCGGCATTTCTTCGCTGTCCCCACCCGCGTGCTGAACGACAGGCTGTCGGGCCTCATCCTTACCCAGCTGCCCTCCAGCACCAAAATCACAAAGCAGAATGCGCATGAGCGTCTTCACGGGGGGCTGGGTGTCGCCAAAGCCCTGTTCCGGCTGCCAAGCCCCAACATCCGGCAGTTGCCCTGCGAGGAGAAGATTGCTTGGCTTGATATCCATGTGGCCGAAACCCTTCGAATGCAAGTAACACAGAGTGGAAGCAACTTGAGTCAACATGAAGAACATCGCATCGGCCCAGTCTTGTCCAGACCTCATCAGCACCGTCACAGGCCCGTGAGCAAGCTCCATGGAAAATCCTTTGGTCAATGTCCCGTCGCTCCGCGTCACCTCTGCATCAGCTAGGTGCAGAACAATGCCTGTCCCCTTTAGCTCTTTCAGCTTCTTGAGAAGATCCCTCTCCCTGACAAGTTCCTTTGCCTTCTCGTCCTTGGCGACTTTCAATGCCCATCCATCAGAATGCGCATAGACAGTGCCGCAACCACCTGAAGCAAGCACCTGAAATTCAGCCTTCACGAATTCTGACGGAAATTGCACACAGAAGGTATCAGAACCAGCCTCATCTAAGGAACGATCCTGGGATTTTTCCTCAATGCGTCCTGACGAGAACTCCACGCCAACACGGACGGTCTGCGCTTCTGCAGGGTGGCCAATACTGTGTATGGTGTATTGGTCCGCTGTCCACCCCTTCACCTTCATCACTTTCCGCACCTGCTCGGAAACAAAAAGCTCGTCGATGGGGGCTGCTGGAAGCGCCACTGCTTCTGCCCACACCTGCCCCGCTCGCGGAATCTCCAGCTGCAGTTGGAGTGTCTCAAGAACCGGAGGCGCAAGATCGCTTACAGTAGCAACGGTCGAGGCTTCACAACTCGTGCTTGTGGTGCTCGGAAGACATGGGATCGGTTCGGGAGTCCTAGTACCGTCCAGCGACAACGAACTCCCGCACAAGCTGGCATTTCGCTCCGTCACAGTCCACCAAGCTTCCATCTTGACAGCGAATGCGAGCTTGCCACTGAACACTGCAGCCACCAGAACTTACACGTTCTTTCCATGTTTCAATGCGTCGCCCAATCCTCTCCCACGTTGCTTCCATTTTCTGGGTCTCTGGTCGAAGCATTTAAACGCATCCTGTATGCAACCGTCAACCCGCCGATCGCCGGATCCATTCGGCGATGGTACCATGGCCAGGAGCAGAGCCAAAGCTCACGCGTTGCAGGCTAGAGCGGCTAGAGGTTGAGTCCAGCTGAGCTTACAAAATCTCAGGCAAACCCGAGAATTGGCACATGGTAGAAGTAGAAGCTGTACAGACGGTTTAGTGACTGGCAAAAGCCCACAGTCAGGAGCACAGGCACGGCGGTGCACTCAGGGATGCACAATGGAGGCCTGCGTGCCAGGGGCTGCCAGCTGGAATTCTCCGCCAGCTCTCTACGGTGCATAGCTGGGCAAAAGGCAAGCTCGCTCATTCATCCTTCCGTCACGCTTGGACCCAGTGGCTATCATTACTGCTCGCCCTAAAAACAGACTAGGAACAGCGTCAGCATGCACAGGTCACATGCTATAAGACAAGCTAAGTCAACTATGTACACTTTTGGGCAAGCAAAGAAGAAGCAGGTCTATCTCCTGCTGGGATTTTACAACATGTTTAGTGTGTTTCGTCGTTTTTTTTATCAATTTGTCGCATCCTAAACGTTCTATCTTCTGTTTAAAGCCTATTTCAAAACTGTATTTTCAAATTTGATGTTTTAGTTGTGTTTGCTTGTTTATTTATGGGATTTTGCAACGTTTTTGGCGTGCTTCGCTGGTCTTGATTCACTTGTCACCTTCTAAAAGCTCTATCTTCTGTTTAAAACCTTATTGAAATCTGTGTTCTCAGATGCTTTCGTCTTGATTGCTGCCTTAAAGAGTCCTCAAAATCCGTGACGCCGCAAGTCGGTTAGCCAAATAGCAGGAGTCCACCGCCCAAAACCCCAAAACGAAGGCATTTTGAAAGCAGTGCCCAGGGCCCAGCTGCTTTGTTGGGGCTCCCTCAAAGAGACCTCACAATCCGTGACGCCACGAGTTGGTTAGCGAAACAGCACAAATCCAACGCTCAAACCCACAACGAAGGCATTTAGGAGAACAGTGCCCAAGGCTCAGCTGCCCTGCTGGGGCTCCCTCGAAACGACCTCGCGCCAATTCCGCGCCAACGCCAATTCCGGCGCCAAGTTCGGGCCAATTTTGGAGGGCCAATTTTTGGACCTTTGACCCATTTCGGACCCACATTTCGGACACATTTCGACCCCATTTTGGACCCATTTCGGACCCAGTTCGGCCCCATTTCGACCTCGTTTTGGACCCATTTCAGCCCCATTTCCCATTTCGGACCCATTTCCATGCCATTTCGGAACCATTTCCATCCAATTTCCGACCAATTTTTTCAACACCCACGAGCGCTTTGAGTCAAAGAAATGCTGAACAATGATGCTCAAAATGCTCGCCCTGCCGAATGCTCGAGACGCGGAGGGCCGGGGGACGAGGGGCTAAGACCCTGAGGAAAAGCATGAAGCCCCACCCCGCTGATCAACAGACGCCAGCAAAGTCCCGCACTTCGATCTGCCTTTTCGAAGTCATGGATTGGATTGCAGAGATAGAGAAGGCTGAAGCCATGGGCGGCAAAGTGAACATGGCCCATCAAGTGTTGGATATCATACAGGACTTTTAAAAATTTTACCAAAGCACCCACTCCCCCGACGTGAAGCTCTTGGGCTGCTCTGTCCGTTCACTGTTGCGTCAGGCTATAACGAAGAGTTTAACGAGCAGCGTGCCTCCAAACGTCAACGCACAAAGGATCTGGACGAGGGCCACGGCCCAGAGGAAAAACATGAAGAGCAAGCCTTGTGATCTGCTCTGCAGGGTGCCGACGCGAACTTAGCAGCGAGCTATGAGCAAAAAAACACACGACAGCCGTTCTATTAGTTCTATCTTCTGCTTAAGACCTTATTTTAAATCTGTATTTTCAATCTTGATGTTTGGGTTTGTTTTGCTTTCTTGTTTTGGTGTGGCTAACTTGCTGGTTAGCTTCAACGCCGTGAACATTCTTCCTTCCAGAACCGTTGGGAGGCGAATCCTTCCGTGAACATTCTTCCTTCCAGAACCGTTGGGAGGCGAATCCTTCCTGTTTTGCTCGCGGCCGCACGCCTCCGGTCGCCATAGCTGTTTGTGTTAGACACTGATCGACAAGGGCCATAGCGATGAGTGGTGTCNNCTGCAGTGAAAAGCAGTGCGCCCTTGATTGCTGATGCTGCGCCCGCCACTCTTTCAGCAGCGACTTCTGTACCCCTGCGTGAGCAAAAGGCTCAAGGCAGCAAAGGATCTAGATTGATTAAGCAGCCAGCTGGACACGCAGGGCTAACCTAGAACTGGTGCGGCCTGAAAGTAGAGATCGTTCGAATCGTTCACTATCTGCTGCCCGTTCACCCAGAGCCCGCACAGCTGCACAGAGCTCGATTGCACCTGCGTAGCACGGATTCTCCGATTCCATTCGCGAATCACATCGCCCGGCCTTTCAAGCTGTCCATCGCGGCAAAAACCCGTAGCAATCTTGTCTATCAGGCACCTGGAAGTAAACAGCCGACCCCGTATCTGACGCAGGACTTCCGATTCGTCTTTGACGCGTTGCCAAGCTCCAGCCTGCATCACAAGCATGGGAAGGAGCCAACCAAAAAAAAAGGGGGGCACTCTGGGGCACACTCTGGGGCTCCGCGCTTGTGAGTAGATGTCGATACACCTTGGAGAGATGTCCTTGAGATCGGGGCTCGTCTGCTGGATGGCCTCACTTGGGCAAATGTCAGGACAGGCAGCAGAGGAAACATGCCGAGGCCGGATCTGTCTTCAAGTCGTTCACATCATTGAGTCTCGGGTGGTCCTGCTGACATGCGATCAGTCGCCAACTCCACTTGGCATGGGGCGGCGAGGGCCTGAAAGGACACCTTAAGCGCCGGCTCCAGCTCATCCTCGCCCTCAGACTCCTCTTGACGAGACGTTATCTGACACAGACACGCTGATCCTAAGCGGCCCGCAATCGGAATCCTCCTTGGGCCAGCTTGGCGGAGACCTTTCCATCCGGCGCGGCGAGTGGGTCAAGAACCGACAGCAAACTTGCAAAAGCACTCCCAGCAAGGAACAGCCGAAACAGTCCCAGCCCCCGAACCACCTCCCGGAGCCACTCCTCTGCCCGTGATCGGACCTGTGCGCCCAACATGAGCATCCACCGCATGCCGACGATGGTGCGCCATGCGAGCATCCAAACAGCCGTACCCCAACCCTGGATTCAGCTACTGAGTGCTACTCATGCATTCAACGATTAATTGCACTCCACCTACCGGCAGTTGCTCACGCACAGCACAGTCCTTGCAGATCAGCTGCTGCCTGCAGAGCCTCGCAGAACGCCAAACATCTCGAAGCCTCCAGCCGGCCGCCAACCCAAATGCAAGACTAAAAACCCTGAGCCTAAAGGGATGCTAACTGCTCAGAAAAGGTTAGCAATGAACACCAGCAACCTGCCTCGTGTGGGTGGTGCCTCACCGAGACTGAGATAGCCACGCATGCTCCATCCACCAGGCCCATCGCGCATCTTGGTGGCATCCAACCATTCCCTCATGAGTTCATCAGCAGAAACATTTTGCCGCTTTTTACATCTGTCATCACTGTCCTATTCAGGTATTGATGGGCGAGGTCTTCTGACTGCCGGAAATCTTCTGCGCGCTTGCCGTCTTGCTGGGGTGCAATTTTTGTGCGCACGCCATTCAGGTTGTCGATCTCTGTGGTCACCTCGTGTGAATGGGTGACGATAACGAGCTGGTGGCCACATTCAACAGCGTGCCGCATGAGCTCCATCAATGCATTGCTGTCGCCCTTCAGCCCACTATCGAAAGCAGTGTCGATGATAATGCGCAAGGAAATGCCATCACTTGCAATTTGGCTGAAAACGAACTGGCAACGTTGAGTGCGAGGGATGTGCCTGGAACCCGGAAAAATCTTTCAGGCTCTTTTGAAACTCTCCCCGCAGTATCGCCGTTATGCAAGACTCGCTTGCATTGGTCTTCAACACGGCAAGGACGGTAGAGACTGACTTGCCAATACCTGGCTCTGCAAACCCTGCAGTTGTCCCCACATCTCTTGCCTGCAAAGCATCGTGCATAAGTGTCAAAAAAGGGTTGTCCTTCATTCGGTCAGCCAGGAACCGCGTCTCAAAATGGCAGAATGACGTTTTTCATTGGCGCTCTTTTTCCCAATCTTGGTCCCAACATCTGCCAGATCCAATTGCCCCAGGAAATGCGCTTGGTCAACTTCTTCGCGTGCTTCTGGACGCTCATCTCTGGGGTCATCAGGTTCACTTTTTGAAACGAAAAATCCGTCGCCTCTCTTTACTGTAAAGCCAAGCTTGATGCTTTGCGAACAATGGGCTGCGCGAGGGGACGCAATAGCACCAGCACAATGATCCACCTGCTTCTCTTTAGGTGTTGTAGCGCCATGGCAGGCCAATCTAAACTAAAAAGTATGTGCTGCTTTTGTTGCCCTGAATGCACATCATGTGATGTTTTGTTCCAAGATGCCGGCATTCAGAGAGGTTGACTACTTTGGAGCGGCGAACTGGGGCCGAACGACGGTGCATGGGCTTCTGGGGGGCACGGGCATGGGGCAAAGGCCTGTATTTCTGCGTCAAAAGATACGCGGTGCAGCATTCGAAAACCTACGGTGGCAGGGTGCAATCGTGGGAAAGTCCCGAACCATCGCTACTGTGCGACAAGCAATTGGATGTGTGAGATACTCACCGTCATCAGACGCATGTCTACACTTGAGTCGCCCCGTTCTGCTCTTGGAGCAAGTGGAGATACTCCCGCTTGAAACGCCCCTGATTCCGGGTGCGCGAATGTTGAATGCAGTCTGCGGCTTTGGACAGACTTTGACAAACTTGAAGATGCGACACAGTCTCTGCTGGTGCGGCATTGGGATGATCATGTAGCGGCAGCACTTGGGCCCGCTGTTCGTTATACTCATGCTGAAGATACTCCAAGGACGAACCCTCTTCTGACACAAGCTCTCGCATGCTCTAGCACCTCTTTTTGCTGATAAGAATAGCAAGGTTCTGGATTCAAAACTACAATTGGTTGTGCTTACTCTTAGCTGAGCACGAGCGGTTGCTGCACGCCGCCAAGCAGATTAAGATAAATGGTCTGAGCTCGCAGAGATTCACAATGCGAGGTGTTTCTCTTGCACCCACCATACCTTAACTGCCCCTGAGAATGACTGCACCTGCACAATTCAAATTACAATGCCTTTTCGTGGGCTTTCAACGTCTCCGTGCCTTACGGCAGGCCGTACAAGGCAATCAGGAGAACCATGCTGACCACGAACAGCTGCTGAATCCGAGGCCAAGGTTTGTCGGAACCCGCACGACATTTACTTGCTTCCGCAGGCCGGCGCTCACGCACGTTTTGTTGGAGTGCCTGTCTGCATGTGGCGATGCACCGATCGCAGTCCTTCAGTCTCTGATCGCACGACCGCATGGTCCCTAGTTCCTACCATGTCGTTGCAAGCCTTATACACATTAATTACTTGCCTCAGGCAACACATTCTGCACTGGAAAGGAGCATTCCATGCCTTACCTTAAATGGGAGCGTGCTGGACCGCGAGCTGCCCGGCATGACATGTCTGCGATCACAGGAAAGCACATTTCACCACAGGAGCACAGAAACAACACGACAGTCGATACTATGAATTTCGCAGAACTCATACGGGCACGATGACGTCCATGATCGAACCAGAATCATGCTTGTGACAATCCACGCAAAGTGAAGAAGCACCATAATCACAAACACGATCACGAAAAAAACGGCTCACGATCTCGATCGCAGAAGTCTCTGCTCCGAGCAGCCACAGATTCAGTAACGTGTACAGGCTTCCGAGTGCGAATGGGGCCAGGACAGCCCGGAAACGAACTGTTTTGGACTTTGGCTGCTGCCCATCGCCACGGGACAGGGCTGGAGGAAGCCCCGGGTGGGATACACGACCGTGCCACTGCGGACTCGACGTCCAAGTGAGTTGTCCATCGGGTGTGAAAGGAGTCGTTGTTTGCTTGGCGATCTCAAAAGACAAATTATCTCTGCTTTCTTTTGGTAGGGCTTGGCTTTACTTTGCTTGGGGTGTGAGCCGAAGGCAGCCCCCCCGACCCCCGCTGCCGGGCTACCCCATCCATCATCTGGACAGATGGGCTCGGCTGCACGTGGATTCCCTTTCACCTAGGAGTTGGGCGAGTGCCCCAGCTTGGAGGAAAAACGTGCCTCCAATTGATGGCCCCGGAAAACCTTTGTCACTCTTGGTCACGCCTCAGGTTGTTGGTTCGAGAAATTTGCGCACGGCCTCCAGCAGCGTGGGGTAGAGGAAAGGCGGACGTTGGATGCCCTGGAACTTCAACTGTGCACGGGTCCCCTTCTTCAAGCAAGCGAAAGCCTGACTTGCTTGGTCACGAAGAGTCTCCGCTGGGCTTGCCGCGGAGGTGGTCCTTTGGGCTCTGAGACTCTGGTGTGCCCAGGGACCGGCTCCTCGCATGGCTGAGGGGAAAAAAGGCAAGGCCCGGACCGCCGGTCCCTGAGCACACCGGTCGTCTTCGTATTTTCCGTAGTGCCACGACGAGGTCTGCACCTGTTGCCGTGATGCTAGGAAGCTCTGATGCCAGGTGCAGCTTTTGGCTCTGTGGTTGGTGTCCAGTAGAGGATGTCGTGGTCACGGCTGGCTGGCTGCGTCTCTGCCTTGGTCGTTTCGTCGCGGGCATGCCAGGCAGGTCGCGATGTAGGTTCCCTTCTGTGTGCTGGTGCTGGTTTGCTCTTCACTGCGGTTGTGGCTGCGGTGGCTGAGGTTGAGCTCCGTGGTCCCTCACTTCTGGTGCCGGGCCTCTGGTGCTCGGTCTTTTGGGCCTTGTTGTCGAGGTCGATGACCAAGTTGTGGTTCTCCTCGTTTTGGTGCGACGGGAGGGTTTGCTCCTCTCCCTGTCCCCCTTGGTAGTGGTCGTTCGGGCTGGCGGGCTCGTGTGCTCTTCGGCTTTTCCTCTGTGGTCTCTACGCTGTGTCCTCGCTTGGTCCCCGCGGCTCTTGTCCGGAGGCCGGTGTGTCCAAGCGCTTGAAGAAAAGAACCATCAAGGAGTCAAGCTGTTAAAAAGCCATGGATCCTCGGCTTTGTCTCTGGCTCTCTTCCTTTCTGGCCGCATTTTGTTTTGCTTCGCTGGGGGCAAGAGTGCAGCGCACGTCAAGAGCTCGCTATCCACCCGATGGGTATGAGCGACTCATTGGATATGGCTTCTGAAGTCTTCTGCCAAAAGAAGAGCCGATTGATCAGCCGGTCGGCGTGTCGTGGCCGCCCTCATTGGGCGACGGGCTTGATCACAACTCAACATCACTACTTGTTCGTTCACCACAGCAGTCCAGCTGTGTTTTGAAGGAAGCTGGAAGGCCGACACGGAGAACCACGCATGAGAACACTCAGAGGAGTAGAAACGGAACATGCAAAAGCCAGAAGGACCTAAACAGAGGAGAGCAAATCGCAAGCAGCACTGAGTCAGCAAAAGCAATAAAGCAAAGGGCCAACACACGAGCGAAAACCCCGAAGCAGAATCAACAACGTGAAACAGACAGCTCAGAGAGCAAATAGCAATGAGCAAGAAGCGGGAAGTGCACAAGCGGAAGCGCAGAGAGCAGGGAGCAAAACTGTAGCAAGGGCGACATGTGGGCCAGGTAAGGGCCACAACTTAAAACAACAGAACTTGGCCCTTGTAACTGCCTGCTCGCTCCAGGTGTCGCCCAGAATGTCGAAATCCACGGTGCCACCGTAATTGCGAGGAAGCTGGTCTGCCTGACGCATCCTAAAAGCCCCGACAGGCAGCTCGTGGTCTGCACAGTTCCGGCTGCTGAACCAAGTGGCATCAATGTGCTCAAGTAGCACCGGTTGAAAGTTTCTTCCAAGAACCTGGATCTTCGACGCCGTCACTGGGTCCAGCCAGGTCTTGATCAGCCGGTAGAGCCTGCGCCACATGTGCCACGAGCCGTCGACGAAGATCGACGAAGGACCGTGAAGGCTGAAGTGATGCCGCTCTGACACGAATCTTTTGCTGAGCAGCGCGACGAATACCGGAGGAGCATTGACTACAAACAGAACTGCCAAGGATTCCGGATAGTAGCCTCAGTTGGGCATCCTCCCTGCGGCCCAGGTGGCCGCGAAAAGAGGCGTGCCAGTTAAGATGCCAGTTGAGGGACGAGAGCTTACGACCAGAAAATCCTTGAAAGCAGCCACGGCCAGTGGGTGTGGGCGAAGCGGCATTCCATCAGCGTTCGTAATCACGACCTTGGTATGGTGCCAAGCTCGAGCAGCGTGTACATGTTGAGGGGCTGCATCGCAGGATGCCTAGTCTTTCTGGGGCTTCTGCCTGCTTTGTGATTGGGTGCCCATGCCTTCTCGATGCCTCTTCCATGCGTGCTGCCTCGGGCGAAGATGCGGTGTGTGCTGTGCCTGGCTGTCACTGGGCCACGGCATTCGCCTGTAACTCGTGCATGCGGACCAGGCTGGCCAAGACCTTCTCGCTTCCGCCAATCTCAGCGGGCAGGGATGGCCCTCTCGGCTAGGCAGCTAGGCATAGCTAGGCATAGCTAGGCAGTGCGGCTCAGCTTAGCCAAGCGGCGAGGCGCAGCATCTCAGAAAAGCGCCAGCCTGCGAGTCCACCGTTCTGGATTTGGACGGGCTGGCCCTTCTTGTCGAAGCCAAAGGCTAGTGTCTGGCCGTAGAAGAGGAGAGCGCCTTCGTCCAGCGTCGGCTCCACCAGCCTGACGCTTTCGCCAACTCCCCACGGAAACCCGGAGTTCGGGAGATAACAAACAGCTCATGAACAGCTGCTGTTCGGAACTATTGACAATTTGTTGACATTTCGGACCTGAGCTGCGGAAACATCTCAACACCTTGTCGGCCAAGCCGACCGTCCTGCAGCATCAAGCGGTTCAACAGGTCTTGAACTCTAAGGCGCGATCGCGGAACCTGTGCAGCTTTTGAAGCCGCCTCTGGCCCAAAGGGCCCTAAAGCATTGCCACGAACCCGATCTACATGATGATCTCTTCGCCATTTAAGCATGGCCTCGTCAGACACTCCAAATCTTCCCCATGCCATCAGCCAGTTTTGTGCCCTTCGCTTGTCAGAGGCGCCTGAAACTGGTCCACGGCCGCATCCACTTGCCATTTCCTTGCAACCAGAAACCGCAGAAGCTCTTTGTCTTCTGTGGAAGATGCAGAAGGCCTCGATTCCGCTCGCTCATGGAAATGGCTGTCAGCAACTTGCATGTGAGTGCGCAGAAGATGATATCCGAGGGAGCTAAGCGCCAACAAGATTCTGAATTTGCCGCCGCATGTCGGATAGAGCCCGTGCTTGGAATTCGTTGAGGGCCGCTGGGTCTTGTGCTAGCGATTTCTCCTTCGAACTCGCTCAGCCGCTCGGAGATTTCAGTTGTTGTTCCCCCTTTCGGCGGCCCCGTCTCTCAGCTCCTGGAAGCGTGGCGCCAGGCCCCGCTCCTGCGCCGGGATGCGGAAGGAAGAAAGCTCTTAGCACGAGACCTCACATCCCAGCTACCGCTTCCGCTAGCCACCAGCCGCTCTCATCGACCGGACGAGCTCTGAGATCCGAGCATTGCCGCACCAGCCGAGCAGCCCACTGCTTGGGCAACACTCCATTGTAAATGGTTCTATGGCTAGCTGTGGTCAAGTCTGACCAAGGTATGACAAGTTGGTGTTTCGCAACGCGCAATGCCTACAATCAAGCGGCAATGCTCAGAGGCACGAAGTGTGGGTCGTTCGACGAATACACTGGTGAAACATGGTATGTTGAGCCAAGTCGAGGAACCACTTGTTCACCAAACTGCATGTCTCAATCCGTCATAGTGATCACGTGCATATGACACCATATGACCTACTGTATGAGAACCCAACTTGTATCTTGGACTCCTCGCTCCCAGAGGTTCGCGTGCTCTTCTAGAATGAGCAAAACCGGGCCTCAGAGTTGCAAGTGTTAAGACGGGAACGTACTGTTTCGAACATGTCCGATCTTTGCTCCTGTCGCTACTGCAACGTCAAAGCGGAAACATGCGCAAACACCATATCCTCACCCACCGCTTAGAAATTCCAGCCGCTCCCAGCTCCCTGTACCGGCAGCGCAAGCTGAAGAACTGTCGTGAGCACGAATACCATCACCCGACCGTCGCACGAATCCTTTGGGCAGCTATGCAGCTATGCATTCACTCAAGAATCCACGAATGCATGTGCATTCCAAAGCTTGTATTCACAGCAGTGGCAACGGATCCAGAATTGTCAGGAAGTGATGGCGTGCCGAAGAGTTTGCAAGTTGTATCTGCGTGTAAAAACTCTTCGCATGGCACTTGCACTCAAACTAAAAGTGATGTGCATGTGCTGAGTATGTGTGCACTGTGTGTGCGTTGGCACAGCTCGGCCGCGGCTCAGAGGAGTCGGTTGATGTGCTGTTCTTGCAGGGTTCTTGCTCTATTCTGCGCTGCGGCTGCCGTTGGGAGCAAGACATGACGGCGTCTTATAGCGGTGATGGAGCTGGCTGGCGAAGTCGGAGATTTTAGGCGATCGATGATTTTCGAAGTTGACCCTGGAGAGTCAAATGTAAACGACCGCAGCCCGCGGCCTTGCAGAGTGCAGGTGAGCTGGTAGCAGCAGTTGATGCATTTTCCTGAAACTTCGGCAAAGCCGGAATCCTTTTTTTCCCGCCTTACTTCGTCTCACGCGCTTGTTCCCATGCTCAGAAGGCTGAGTTCGAGCTGGATGCTGGGTGGAAAGTGGAGCTGGTCCATCAAGATGTAGCTGCAACTCAATCCCATCAACCTGGTCGTAGTACTTGGGATGGACTTCGGTCTGCTGAAACCCGAACTGTTGATACAACGCCTGTGCAGCGGCGTTGTCAGATCTGACAATCAGTCTCATGCAAAGAGCTCTCGGGAACTTTTGCCAACTGAGCTCTCGGACGTGGTGAAGCAGCCGAGTCGCAATGCCAAGTCTGCGAAATTCTGTAGCAACAGCGAGATTCATGACATGGATACATTTTTCGCATGCAGCGAAAGGCTCATAACTCCAAGCAACGTACCCGGTGATCATGTCGTTGGTGCGTGTGCTCAAAACAGCCGTGTCCACAAATGTTGGCACGAACCATGGACCACCAATTCTTCTTCTTGAATCTGCAATGCGGTCAGAAACTACACGTTCCTGGTGGGTAAATGCTTCCGACTCAATAGCCTGTACTCTGGAGATGTCTGCCTCTGACACAGGCCGTATGACTACGACGTCAATTTGGCTGGACGTCATTCCGGAAGCCGGGGCGATGCAGAGCTTGTCATCCATAGCTACTGTAGCTTTTCTGCTGATTACTGAGCCACACTGAATAATTTTAGGCTACATGTGATGCGGTTGATACTCACTCTGCTATGAGGCAGATATCGCACAGGCAGTGCTGATGGAGGCTATGTGGTGTGCAGCTGCACGTTGTTCTTGAAACCCGCTGGGCCTCCACTGGGCATGCTGGTGTACAAACTTGCGGCTTTGCAACATCATGCAACGTCAGCTCTGCACATAGGCTATGTCTCAGGAACAAAAATTCGCTTGTCCGGAAGATCGAGCGAGTCTTCGAAACTGTTACCCTGCGCCTCTTGCGAACTTCCTGGGCTGAGTTCTGACCTACCATTGCCCGACTAATTCTTACGGCGGCCGAGCCTGTTGTATTCGGTGTTGCATAGCTGCATAACTGGTAAGCAACTTTTCGCATCGCCCGCAGCCCTCAGATCGCCCGCCCTCCCGCAGCGAGAGACAACGCCCGTTCCGTGGCGACCTCACCCACAGCGGAACCACTGGCATAACAAACCTCGCGTCCGTTATATAGATGCAGCTCTCGCAGCTTTTGAGAACACTGTTAAGTCGTGGCGCAGTACAGTAGGTAAAGTACAATGTGGCATTCTGCTCATACTCATTACCAGAAACTCTAGCAACCTGCACAGCAACTTCGCGAATTGCATCAGTTATCATCAGATCAACTCCAGCAGGAAGTCGTCGAAACCAGTCACTCGATCAAAGACGGCATTCAATGGATGGCCTCACGGAGGCTTGCAAGCCCACAGGCCTAGCGTCAGTGCCACTGTTGCACAGCCTACCTGCGATGCAGAGCACTGTTTGCATGCCGGGGGCACGTATCTGACGATTCACAGGTGTGGTTGAGCAAACCGTGAACTGGAGTCAAAGCGTCCATCGCCAAGCAGCGTTGCGGGGGATCACTCTAAGACGAAGGACAGGGCAAGGGAGGTCTCCTCAGCCTGCGAGGATTCAATCCAACTTTGATTTGGGAGCGGCTTTGTTGCCGCACGACAGAGCCTCCATAGATGAGAACACGACAGCCGGAAAGGCTGCCTGAAGCACGGTGCTCACATCTTTAAGGCTTTCGTCAACGCAACACCAAATGACATAATGAAAACCTGGCTATGGAAATCTTCGAACGTGACACGAATGCAGGCATGTCGCCACAGAACCCTCGCGCATATCAAGCGCGACCTCTGTCATTTCCAGGAACACCAACGATGCGCGAATCATCGGCACTCGGGACCTTCTGACCGAATAGGCGGCGAGCCACAGGATCGGAAGCCTCATGACTTTTTCGTTGCTAGCTGCAGACCATTGCAGTCGATCCGAAGGTGCGCATGCTGGGCACCAAGCCGCCACAACTTCCACCGGCAGCCTGCACGTGGTGACGTGTCGCTGGTGAGGTTGAAGCCGAGACGGAGACCGATGCGGAACAGCTCACAGACGGTATTCTGATTAGGTGACCAGGGTGCCTGGGACTGGTCCGACGACGTCAGGACTAGTTTATGACCAGATTGACATGCAGCAGGACTGCAAGCCGCCAGTTGTATCCAGTGAAAAACCCCCCCCTGTGCTGCATGGCCTCGGATCGAACAGCCACAAGACCAGGCGACCTTGCAGCACCTGCTCGCCAATGCTCTGGCATCCCAAACGATGCCGGCTCGCGCTTAAACCAAGGACCGCACGTGAATCCCAGTTACAGCCGTTGCGGGAGACAGGACTGACCGCCGAGTTCGAGCAGCTTGCCTTATGGTGTGCACAAAACTTGTCACGCCTGGCATCGCATGGCTGCAGGGCATTAGCATGGCTTATGCTGCGAATTTGACTCTGCTGGTGATCTGGGGAACTAAGTAAAGAGCACAAAGCCTGACGGAAGAGTCAGAAGGGAGACAGAGCCGTGAGCGTCAGTAAGCGGAGGCCTGCCAACGAGGAAGCAGGAAGAGAGATTGACGTAAGGCTCTGAAGCTCCAAGGAACACGGTTCCGGAGCAATGCCAGCATGCAACTTCACCTGCTCGTCGGTGCTGCTGCACGCGTGGCACAGATCCATCGAGCTGCGAGTCCGGAAGATCTGATCCAGGATGCCTCCATGCAGCACATCGAACATAATGCGTGAAGAAACTGCGTGGGCTCGACTTAGCAGTGACTAGCAGCTAGACGTGGCATGTTCAACTGGCTTGCCACTTCGGCTGGTGGTCGTTCACGACGCGGTCCTGAAACATCAATGCGAAGGAGGTGAAGAAGGTCATCTAACTCGAGTCGAGTGTTGCCCAATCAAATGAGGCCTTCCGTGTGAGCCTGTCTGGCTGGCAAGTTCGAGCAACTCTTCTCCTGTGCAGGTCTCCGTTGCTGTGAGGCCAAACGTGAAGCGTCACTTGCTGGCCTCGACGTGCTGCGATAGATTGTTTGGGAAAAGATGTACCTGCCACTGACTTTCGTAAATGCCGGAACAGACAAGTCGCCTCCCGCCAATGCGACGGAATTCCTGATCCGGCACACCATGCGCATGAATTCCAAACCCGCGATCCTCGGAGGCCTTGGGGAAATCGGCTTGCAAACACAGGACTCTGAGAACGTACATGCGCTTGTATCACTCTCGGTTGAGGCGACCGCAGCTCTCCCTCGCTGCTCCGAAATTGTAGATACTGTAGATCGCTCTTCTCGCCGACAATGCGGGCTTTGAGGTTGAAGGAAAGACTGGCAGAGGCAAAAGTGATTGCAACGCCTTGACGTACAGGAAACGAGCTGCTTCTGTGCGGGTGCTCTCACGCCGTGGCGCCTGATGCGGGGCTCTGTGCCCACGTGCGGTGGCACATGGTGCTGCAACCTGCTACGCAAGGCAGTTTGTGAAGTGCTGCGAAAACGAAGTGAGATGACGCCACCAAGATCAGGCAATGTGCACGGCTGCATCATGCCTGTCCTGCTTTCTGTGCATCGTTCTACATATCAGAGCATTTCGACCACACACAGAGTGTCAACCAATTTGTGGCACTCGCACTCGACAAAGCTCAACCCTTAGTAGCTTACGATTGTCATACGCATGCACATAAGAATGGCGGAGTATTCGCCTAATCGGCTATCTCGATGCGCCTATGGGTCTTAACGGCACAATGTTGGCCATTTTCCCTTTCTTTTGCCAGTTCTGCTTTGAGTGTGGCTTGTTTGCAGCGACTTGCTCGCTCCAGAATCCTTGAAGCGCACACACTTCTGGGGCGTAGTGTAACTCTAACCGGCAGGCTCTTAAGGTATGGACAGATCTGGTGGCGGAAGCTCTGGCTTGCAGAACAGCGAAGTACCAAAGCGGAGTTTGCACGTTCCTTAAACGCACAACAAAACCCTAGTCTAGCCTTCTTGCTCTACTTTCCTTGTTCCACTGGTCCTTGTGACTCTGCTCCATCCCTTCAGTGCTCTCGATCCTTGCACCACGTTCCTGCTGTCAGCTTGTGCAAGTTGGATTAGCTCTTGGCCAAGGCTTGTTGCACGCAAGCTGTTTCCAGCACGGAGAAAGTAGCTAGGATTGAGTTGGGACAGTGACACGGGCATGAGATTTTGGATAGGTCTTTGGTTGAGCCTCCCGGAGAGCATGAGTGGCTGGCATGAACTGTCGACGTGCCACAGGGCACCATCACAATCGCTAGGCCGCTCGCCAGGAAGGAAAAATCAAAAGTTCTCCGGCACGCAGGCCCTGCACGAGCTCATCTGATGTCCAAGGCAGGGCTATAAACTGCTATGCATCGCTGCACTCCTGGAGTCCAACAAGGCCAGCAAAGGCTTCCAAAGCATTGCCTCACCACATGGCGTTGAGGATCACTGAAGCCAATGAAGCAAATGCACGTGATGCTAGACAGTCGCTGTGGGCGCTGCTGCTGTTGCTGCAAGCAAAGTGTAGCAGTGTAACACAGGTTTTTGTCCAAGCAGTGAGGGAACAAATAGTGACACTGCGGGATTCTTACCTGCTTTCGGAGTAAAGGGGGTGGCCATTGTCGCCGTCCCCCGGCCCGCAATGGTGCCCACGACACACTCGAAGTACCTCCAATCCTAGCATGGCCGCACAATGAGGCTCCTTCGTGTGGGCCGCCATTACATGGGGGGAAAAAGGGGCTGCCTTCCGGCCTGCCTCTAGCCTTGGGGTTCTGGTGGTCCTGGCATCCTTGGTCTTCGTCGCACAGGTGTGCTTGTCGTGGGGTCCAGCTGGTCTTAGTCGTCTTGGTCATCGTTGTCGTGGTGGTCGTGGTCGTCCTGATCGTCCTGGTATCATCGGTGTGTACACGGCGCGCTGTCTTACACTTTTTGGGATCTACGCAAGCATCAATATTGCGGAAACACAACGAAATTGTGTAAGTGCTTTGGGCACAACGACCCGCGACAGCAAAGCGTAGAAGTGACGAAAAGAATCGTAAGTTCACCCGGCTCAACAACAATTGTACCAAATTTTGCTGGGCACTACTGACACCCGAGATTCGCAAAATACGTGCAGCAACTTGACATGCCAAATTCAGCTGAGATGGTGGCAATCGTTTGCGATATGATCGCCATCCAGCCGACCCTACCAGGGCCACATGCATATTCGGATTTTTGGAGCAGTCTGCAGCGATGGCATGCGATGTCAAGCTGTGATTCAGCTCCCGTCCCATTTTTTGGACCTCCTCTCCTGCAGCGGCACCGCGCGGATCTGTAAAGCACAACGTCGCACCTGTCAAGCTCGCTCGAATTTCCGTCGAAGTTTCGTGCATCGTCTGGGCCTGCCTTGATCAGCTCCGGCCTGTAGATACAGGACGCCGGAAAGCAACCCAGGATGGATGTGAGCCTTGGTGGCCACAATCCACTTGAATCTTCCCACAACACATGGTGCTGGATGCCATGATGCCGGCAACGTTGCTGTTCCCTCTCCCATTGACCTCGGGACTGAGTCGGGGTGCGGCGTGCTGCAAGATATGGCGAAATCACGCACATCAAAGCGCACGTTTGCCCAAAGGCCCAGCAGATCCAGCTGCAATTCCTTGAAACAAATGCGTCCGTGCGCAGGCAGACAAAGCGACGCCAACACGAACACGCATGCATGCACGTATGCACCCCCGCGCACACACACACATATGGAAATCCGGTCGAAGCCGCTGTCGGTATTTCTTTTCTTTCTCTGTCCTTTATCATCTTTTTGTCGTCTCCTACTAAACTAAAACTATAGAGCCTGTGGGACCTTGTATCAACTTGCAAAGTACGAGTTGTGTAGATGCAAAAAGCAACAACTATTGATTATAACAGGAGCTCAAGGACACACACACACACAATTTTCATCTATATATATTTATATATATCGCTCTCTCTCTCTCTCTCTCTGCAGGGCGTGAAGAAGGCAGCAACGTCCAAACTACCTCCCTGGTTGCGCGTGCGCACACCCGCGGCTCTGAAAAACATGCTCTCCTTCGCTGCTCCGAGCGAGTGGTATCACTTGACATTGAAAGGAACGGAGGTGAA